GGCTATCGACGATCAGAATATATCAATGGGAGAAATCTTTTTTCTTTGAGGACATGTTTTATTTTTAGAAACAGCTTGGTTCAGAGAGCAAAATCAAGATGGTTAATACCATTTTTGATATTTAAAAAAATTAAGTATGATAATGAGATTTTCTTTTATAGTATTTAAATTGGTACATATTCTAGCTTTCTCACAGGTGGCATTGACAGCGTATTCCATTTGGCACATTAAAATCCAGGGAAATAATTATAAAGAAATCTTTTGATTTTTTGAATAGCACTCTGATAAATCAAGCAGTATTAGCAAGCTCAAGAGAACTGAGGTCTTTAATCATATACTTAATCACAAGTTAACATTGAAAATTTTACTACTAGCAAAAAAGAATTTAGGAAACCGTGATCCAAGGTGCTGTATTCTTGTATGTGTTTGGGGCCATTCTCTTTTCATCTAGGCCCACGGGAATCCATGCGGCTGAAATGCAGTAAGGAAGATGGTATCTTACTAATGACCCCGAGGAGGCTGGCACCTTCAGAGGCCTGCCCCTAGTGGGAGGGGAGGAGCCAGCTGGGGAAATGGACAGAGATGTACAGGCAGATATACAGCCTTTATAGTAGTATAGAGAGCTTCTACAGAACAATCTGTAGGATGCGTTCATCATAGAAGAGACTGGAGGCACAGGTTATTCTTTTTTTTTTTTTTTTAAAGATTTTATTTATTTATTTGAGAGAGAGAGAGAGAGAAACAGCATGAGAGGGGAGAAGGTCAGAGGGAGAAGCAGGCTCCCCGCTGAGCCGGGAGCCCGATGCGGGACTCGATCCCAGGACCCCGGGATCATGACCTGAGCTGAAGGCAGTCGCTTAACCAACTGAGCCACCCAGGCACCCGGCACAGGTTATTCTATCTATAGGAAAAAAACAATAAGTGTTTGGAGGAGCACAGTTCTGTGTGGTTCTGTGTGGTGGTAGTGGTACCCCCTCCCCCCCAGGGCTAGTGTGGAAGCTGGACTGAGGATTAGCCTAATCCAGGGGGATCCAGTGACAATGCTCAGGTTACTACAAGGAACGCAGGTTTATTTGGTGATCTAGCGGTTGCTAAGGATTTAGTATCTTACCTCATCATTGTATAGAGGTCATGAATGGGAGGTGTCAGAGTCAACTATAAAGGGTTGTTGACATACTATTTTTAAATATATAAAATTCAATGGGCGCCTGGGTGGCTCAGTTGGTTAGGCGACTGCCTTCGTTCGGCTCAGGTCATGATCCTGGAGTCCCGGGATCGAGTCCTGCATCGGGCTCCCTGCTCGGCAGGGAGTCTGCTTCTCCCTCTGACCCTCCCCACTCTCATGCTCTATCTCATTCTCTCTCTCAAATAAATAAATAAAATCTTTAAAAATATATATATAAAATTCAAGGTACAGAATAGTACCTTGAATCAACCTCCTCTTGTATGTACGTGTGTAAGATCTATATAATCGTTGCTATTAGGATGATTCACCGAGAGCAGTTGCTGGAGAGCATTTGGGTAGGAGAGCAAAACGTGAATGTTCGTGAATCTTGCATGGGGGAAGGGAGAGAAGTTTATGCACCTACCTTTTGCCGCGGGGGAATAGTGGGGCAATATCACTCAAGTAAGTGGGGACTGAGCCTGGCAATTAAGGTGCCTTGTGGACTAGACTTCACAAGGGATTAGTCCTCCTAAAATGTTTATTATAGAACAGCATGCACTTTTGAGGTATGGTGTTGTAATTTTAATTGAACATTGTTCTTAGGTTTCAGATGGGCAGTATTTTTTAAATTGAATTTTAATTCCAGTATAGTTAACATACAGTGTTCTATTAGTTTCAGGTGTACGATAGAGTGATTCAACACTTCCATGCATCACCCAGTGCTCATCACAAGTGCCCTCTTTCAGCCCCATCACTGATTTTACCCACCTCCCCTCTGGTAACCATCAGTTTGTTCTCTCTAGTTAGGAGTCTGTTTCTTAATTTCTTTCTCTTTCCCTTTGCTTGTTTTGTTTCTTAAATTCCCCATATGAATGAATGAAATATGGCGTTTATCTTTCCCTGACTGACTTATTTCACTTAGCATTATACTCTCTAGCTCCATGCATGTCCTTGCAAATGGCAAGATTTCACATTTTTATGGCCGAATAGTATTCCAGTGTGTGTGTGTGTGTGTGTGTGTGTGTGTATGTATATGTATGTATAGATGTGTGTGTATGTATATGTATGTATGTATAGATGTGTGTGTATATGTATGTATGTATAGATGTATAGATGTGTGTGTATATGTATGTATGTATAAATGTGTGTGTATATGTATGTATGTATATGCATGCATATATGTATAGGTGTGTGTATATGTGTGTATATATGTATAGATGTGTGTGTATGTATATGTATGTATAGATGTATAGATGTGTGTGTGTATATAGATGTATAAATGTGTGTGTATATGTATGTATATATGTATAGATGTGTATGTATATGCATGCATATATGTATAGGTGTGTGTATATGTGTGTATATGTGTGTATATGTATAGGTGTGTGTATGTATATGTATGCATATATGTATAGATGTGTATGTGTATGTGTGTATATATGTATAGATGTGTGTGTATCTGTATGTGTCTATATATGTATAGATGTGTGTGTATGTGTATGTGTGTATATATGTATAGATTGTGTATGTGTATGTGTGTATATATGTATAGATGTGTGTGTATGTGTATATATGTATAGATGTGTGTGTATGTATATGTATGCATATATGTATAGATGTGTGTATATGTATGTATAGATGTATAGATGTGTGTGTATGTATATGTATGCATAGATGTATAGATGTGTGTGTATATGTATGCATATATGTATAGATGTGTGTATATGTATGTATATATGTATAGATGCGTGTATATGTATGCATATATGTATAGATGCGTGTATATGTATATATAGATGCGTGTATATGTATGCATATATGTATAGATGTGTGTATATGTATGTATATATGTATAGATGTGTGTATGTGTGCATATATGTATAGATGTGTGTATGTATATGTATAGATGTATAGATTGTGCATGTATATGTATATATGTATAGATGTGTGTGTATGTGTATGTATATATATATAGATGTGTGTATGTATGTATAGATGT